CACTTTGTATGGCTAGGAAAGAGGGTGCCTTTGTTCCTTGGCTTGATGAGTTTGGGTTTGCTGGGGTACAAGGGTGTGCCACCATGAATGGACTTGTCAATCTTATTCTTCTGATGGTTCTTGGGCCTTGGGAGGAGCTTCTTTTTTTTTTTTTTTAAAGATTTTATTTATTTATCATGTATACAACATTCTGCTTCCATGTATATCTGCACACCAGAAGAGGGCACCAGATCTCATAACAGATGGTTGTGAGCCTCCATGTGGTTGCTGGGAATTGAACTCAGGACCTCTGGAAGAGCAGTCAGTGCTCTTAACCTCTGAGCCATCTCTCCAGCCCAGGAGGAGCTTCTTAACTCTCAAGTATACATACTGACAACTGTCAGCTTAATAGATGGGTGTGACTCATCAAGCAAGGCCTTTAGTCTTGTGAAACTAGGGTTCAGGGAAGTTTTAAGCAGGGTCTTGAAGGGAGTAAAGGATAGCCTCAGATGGAAAAGGGGTGTCCCTACTTATGGAAAGCCTCATGGATATCCTGGAGTGGCTGGATGGCTTGTTTAGCAAGGAAGACTGATGTGAAAGCAAGCCCAAAGCAGCCAGAGTTAGTTTGTAAGATCGGTCCCATCCAGAGCACAAAACTTAAGGCTGGAGCTTGCAAAAAGTGTCGCGTGCCATATGTATTAGCCCCACATTGAGGGGCTATATGTTGTGGACTGGTGTTTGCCAAGCTGCGATCGGAACCAGACAAACAGCCCCTGGTCTGTTCCTGAGTGGGGGAGTGTAGATGAGGGAAGGCTAGCTATAGGCATTAAAGAAAAGACAGAGATATAAGATCATATTAGGAGGGCAGTATCCGTTAATACTGAATGCGCCCAGTTTATTCATACATCATCTTAAGTAACCAACCAAAGTTGGGGACAATGGCAGAAGACATCTATTATTTTGTATAAAGGGCAGATAGCAATTACTTCCCTTAATCCTAAAGACTCTCTGTAGTTGGACATACTATTTGGCCATCAGGCGCTCCATAGCTGAAGTATCATCTAGCCTTCAGGATGAGTGTAAACCTGGGCCTAGGTCTATTGTTATTCAGATAGGAGCCACCACCGAGGCCAGGACTTCCTGCAGCTGTTAAGCAAGTATCTTAAAGAAAATAGGAGTGATTTGAGCTCTCTGAACTTGTGGCAGGATGGAATAGATTTCCAATATATGCCCCCGCCCCATCAAAAAAGCATTCCTCATACTCTACATAAACTTGATCCAGTCTTCGGTAAACGAGGAGCATTGTCAACAAATTTGCATGTTACCCTTAAAGAACCTCTAACTCCCAGTGCCAAATAAATGCTTGCCGCAGACCCTGTTTGTATTCAGAGCCGACTGCCAGTCTGCTTGCGTTTGTCTGAAAGTATGAATATTTTCCCAACCAATTTAATAACATTCCGGATTAGAACAGAATTATTTTATCTCGGGAAGGACAGAGATAGGTGTACAGACTGGCCAAGTCAGATTTGAATTTTAAAAACAATTTTTCTGTATATCCTTGGGTCATTTCTCCTCCTACATCCTGTTCTCTGCCTGGAATATGACCCCCCTTTCGTCAGGTTGAGTGTGCTGATGGTCTCTCCCTTCAGGGTGGTATTGAAAGTCAGCCTTCTGAGATTGTGCTTGGACAGGAGGAGAGCAAGAGACTTGAGAGAAAGAAGGCTGGATTTTATCTAACGGGAGAAATTGAGGGAAGGGAACCATGTCAGACCTGAGAAGGAGAGAGTGTGTGACTGTCTGCACCATGGGGGAGATGAGTATGGACTGTCCACACTAGCAGAGAAGTGTGGACATTGGTTCACTAGCTCCTTTTGGTTGACTTTACAGCTGGTTTCTATGGTGACCAGGGATAATTAGAAAAAAAAAAAAAAGTCACTTGCTCCTTTCAGCTTCAGGCCACATAAGGTTATTCTCTTTTTCTTTCTTATCGTTATTCCTTTATCATCCCCCCCTCTTTCTAGACAGTGCTTACCACTCATTTGGGGGTGAATCACTGGAATCTAGACCTTGGTGTTTGATTCTTGGAGCAGAATGGAGGCAGATTCAGCTGAAACATCGCCTAAGTTAAATTTGGTTTCAGAGGAGTGACTCATTTTATATTGCAGTCCTTGTCACTTACAGTCAGGGACACATTCTAAGATAGGTGTCACACATTCTGAGATATGTGTCATTAGGTGCGAAAGAGTGAACACCACAGGCTGCTATCAAATACTAACGTGGTCACAATGTCACTAGGTAATATGATCTGGAGTTTATTGTTGATTGTTGACAAAAGATATTGTTGGCAACTGGCTGTACTAAGTATGTCTCTAATACTACCTGGGGCATACATATACTAAACAGGATTAATTAAAATTATTATTTTGTGTGTGTGTGCATAAGTGGAGGCCAGAGGACAACTTCAAGTATTACTCTTCAGGCTCTTTTTACTTTGACTGCTCTGGGAGCCTGTACTTGACTCTGGGCCTTACACTTGGTGGGCCCTAGTGCTTTTGCCAATAAATCCTCCTATGAACCAGACTCCAGAGACGGCTGTTTTCTGGATACTTGCAACATGATATAATAAATTAAAATTCATCTTATAATGTGGCTCTCGAGACAGAGACTGTTCTGCAAGTGACATCATGTCGGGCTAGTGACACCAATGTCATTAGTAATGTTTACATTCAGGACAGTATCCTTGGCTTGAACCTATGGGAAAATAGTCTAGAGTCCCACTGCCTGTGACCTATAAGAATGGCCTCCCATTGGGAGGAGGCTGGTAGATGGTGTCCCTTTAGGACACAATTCTGTTTCATCTATGTCTCTACTGTCTCAGTAAATAGTTTTGGATAAATTATGACATCATTTGAAATCACACAAACTAAAACTGCTGTGGGGGACACAAAGCTCAGAAGTCATCTCCTCTTGGCTCTCTTATCCTCCAGTTAATTAAAAAGAGCAAGCCTTAGTGAAGGGAAGTTCTGAAGGATGTTCTACAGGTCCCAAACATGTTCTTCACTCTCTCCAGCCTCTGGGCCATCAAATACATGACTCTTCTTGCATGAAAGAGACTCCCCCTCACTCTGGTAACCTCCTAGGTTTTGTTCAAGACCCCACTTACAATACATTCTCCATCTGATCTTGCAAAAAAGAAAATTGCTACAGTTCCTTGAGGATTTTTTCTGAGTCTATACTATCCATGTTCACAAGCTCAAAGACGAGGTTGGGAGAGCTTATTTCTGTACCTCCAGTAGTAGGATCTTCAGGAATGGAGGGAATATGTATAGTAGGTTAAAGCAGCCATCAGGGTGTTTTTTTTTTTTTTTTTTTTAACCTGTGGTAGGGCATGTGCTGCAGATTAGAACAGGAAGGTGGGCTGCTGGCAGCTGAGAATCCACTCCCCTACACAATATGTAACACGAATAAATAAATGGCCCAGAAACTGATATTGAGGTTTAAGCTTCAACCTGAATATCAGAAAAGCAAAGCAGCCAGTCACTGTCTTCTTACCTCTACCTCAGGCTGAATGGGTTGAATCCATCGCCACGAGCTCTCACCAAGCCTCAGACTGTAACCTTTGCTCAGTGTGGCGGGGGGAATGAATGCCTCTCCAAAACCTTGCTTCTGTCTTATATACTTCCCTAATGTTGGGATTAAAGGTGTGAGCTATAACTCTCTTTTAGACTGATTCACTCTTGTGTAGATCTGGGTGGCCTTGAACTCACGGAGATAGTCTATCTCTTAATCCTGAATCCAAGGATTAAAGGTGTGTACCACCACCTCCTACTTCTGGCTTCTGGGAGGGATTAAAGCTGTGTGATTAGCTTCTATAGCTTGGGGCTGACTTTACTTTCTGAATACTCAGGCAAGCTTTAATCATAATCATAATTATAAACAATAATATATCACCACACAATAAATAAATGTTAATTTTTTTAAAAAGTTGAAAGCCAGTCATGAACTGGAGTCCATCTTGGAGTACACAGTGAGGTAGAGGCCAGTCTGGATTATAAACAAGATCTTGTCTCAAAAACTGATTAAACGCTAGAAATCCTCTACAAACAAATGTAGTGCTGGGCATCTGTTTGGATGCCTCTGGGCAGCATTTAGAGGGGTCCTGAAGGATAAGTGGGGAGGCTTCATGAACAAACTATACCCATAGAAAGAACCTGAGTCCATGACCCCAATATACACACATACACACACACACCATCACCACCATCACCATGACCCCAATATACACACATGCACACACACACACACACCATCACCACCACCAGGGCCACTCACAAGCAAGGCCTTGAGTCCTTGGACGTCTCTGGGTTTAGGTTTTCATTTTATTTTAATTATTTATTTACTTTGTAACCTGGGCTGGTCTAGGAGTCCGTATATAGCTGGCCCTGAGCTCCTGTTCATCCTGCTGTCACCTTCCAAGTGCTGGGATTGCACACCCAGTCTGTTCTTTTTAGTTTTAGCTGTATAGCACCCAGCTGGAACTCTTAATGCTACTTACTGAAAGATGCGAGCAATTCAATGGGCTGGGATCCCTAGGGACATCTCCCAGGCCTCCAGTTCTCTGAAGGTCCTGGAGAAAGGAGATTCCCACGCTGTGGCTATTACCAAGTCGCCAGGCTCAACCTCTCAAAACTGTTTATAAAAACGCTCTAAGATACAAAATGCTCTAAGATCGCCTTATCATCTCTGCATGATCCAAGCGCTCATTTTACAAACCAGGAGTCCAAGAGGCTGGGAGTAGTACTCTCAGAAGTAGAGGGCTGGCTTAGCACGCTTAAGGCACTAGCAGGGCAAAACGAAAAAGTGAGAGAGAAGGAGAGAAAGAAAGAGAGGAGGAGAGGGGGGCGGAGAGAAAAAAGAGAGAGGGAGGGGGAGGAAAGGAGAGGAAGGGAGAAAGGGGACAGGGAGGAGGACCCGCAGCAGCTCCGGGGCGGGGCTAGCAGGCACGGGGCGGGGGCCAGCACGGTCACATGACTCTCGGCCCGGAAGCTCTTGAGTCGAAGTCACCACCTCGCGGATGACCCGGTTTGTAGCTGCTGGTTCAAGTGATCTCACCTGTCCAACGCTATGGCCTGGACCAAGTACCAGCTGTTCCTGGCCGGGCTCATGCTGGTCACCGGCTCCATCAACACGCTTTCAGCAAAGTGAGTCTGGGTCGGGCCGGGAGGGGCCTGCTGGGCCCATGGATGCTGGGCACCCTGCGCCCTGCCCTGTCACCCTCCCATCGGCTACTCTCCAGCCCCACCAGCCCTCCACATTACCGAGAGCTCAGTAGCGCTGGTGTGGACGAAGGGATGAGAGGCCGGGAGGATGCGGGCATCTGAAGCCCGCTCTGATTGGTGGTCACTTCCGTCTCCGAGCCTCAGTTTCCTCATCTCTGAGCCGAAGGGTTGGATCAGTTCCTCCCAGCGGCGCTCTCGGTGCTGCAGGCAGAGACTGGGCGCTCCCTGCTGGGGCTGGGGGCCTGCAGAGGACGAACTGGAGCTCCTGCAGTGGCTGAACTGAAGGAATGGGGAAGCCAGAAGGTGGCTACTGGTCGTTCATGGAGAAAGAGGGGTTAGACTACATCTTGATGCTTAGTTGGGACTCCTATGTAGCAGAGGCTTGGAGGCAGGAAAGAGAGAGAAAGGCCAGCTCCAAGTGGCTTGGTCACATCATCAAATGCCCAGCTGGACTTACCTCCTCCATCATCAGAGGGCACACCGACCTGAGGAGTGACTTGTTAAAAGTGACAGGATTGAAAAAAAGAAAGAAGTGGTGTGGTCAACCACGTGAGGCTGGGACACTCTGGCACTGCTTGCAGATGAGAACACCTGGCAGGTGCCAGTGAGGCGGGAAACACAAAGGCGGGTGGTAAAAACCAGTTCCAGAATGAAGCCACAAGGCTGACCCACAGTATCAGAGTATCTGTCTGAGAGAAATGTCCTTAGCCCCAACCAGAAGGTAGCTGACCACTTCAACTCTGGTGTGTGGGAGTAACAGTCTTCCGTAGGACGGTGCATCATGAAACTGGGGAGCCCAATATGACCTCCTTCCTCTATCATGGGCAGAAAGGCCTATCCTTTGTCTTGGTGGTTCTTTGACAACACTTCATCTGTACCTATCTCAAAGCAAGGCCTTTCTTCCTCTCTACACCATCTAAAATCCTCAGTGTGACCAGCACCTGTCCTTTGTCCAGTGTGCACATGGACAAGAGTGGACAATGGTCCTTTCTAAGTCCAGTTTCACTTCCTACTGGGTCCTGTTAGGCAAGAAGAGTTGGTGTGGTGACTCCAGTAAAAGGTTTCCTGACCTCCAGGGCTGTGCTCTGGGGTTCCTGGGCTTTCCGTTGGCCTCTGCGCATGCAGCTCGCTGTGAGCCTTGTGTAACCATTTCTGATTTACTTCTCAGGTTTCTTTTGTCTCACAAACTATCAAAGCTGTGAAATGCTTAGGAGAGAAGCAGTCACTTCAGCAGGTCACCATAAAGTACCCATAGTGTAGGACAAGAAGGCAGAAATGACCAAGAGAAGGTCCCTGTGCATGCATGCCAGGCACAATGGGCCCCCTCCCTCCCCCTAAAGGAGGGCACAATCTAAGGAACCTAGAAGGGGGCCTGTGCATTTTTTGGGCTTATCTCTGAGTGTCTTGTGATGAGATTCTCGCATCAGCCTAACATAGCTTCTAATGCTCAAAGTGGCTATTACCCTGTCAAGGCTGCTGTCCCCAGGGAGAATCCAAGTGGTCATTTACTGCTTAGATAAACCAAGCTGACTCAGTCATTCCTTTAAAAATCTCCAAACCGGTCAGGTAGGAAGCCAGGGGATCCTCTGTCCCAGGAAGCCCCACCCTTTGAGGCTGCCAGTCAGGAAGAAGGCACCCAGGTGAGAGGTTTAACCTTTGATCCTGTCCTTTGCCCTGTCTCCTTGTGTCCCCTTCCATTATACTCCCCCTTCACGTGCCCCTGACCCTCATCCTGAGATAGGACCCAGAGCTGGACTGTTAACAGTGTTCTGAAGCAAATAGTGAGAAGACACTCTGCGAAAAAGAAGTTTGGGGGAGTATACCATATACAAGTACACCGTGATGTAATGTGAACTACCATTTGAAAATGGTGTGGCTGGCCTGCGGTTTCCACTGGGTGCGGCCCCCTCGGCAGGAGGCACGGGGGAGGAGGGGAGTGTACAGTCAATACACAGGACCCAGGCCTACCAAGTTACAAGCTTGCCATCCTTGGACATGATCTCAGGGAGGGAAGTTGATGGATTCATCATCCCTAGATGGGAAACTGAAACGCAAAAGGTTCAGTTACACACAACTTCAACTCACCTCCCAAGTGATGTCTTCAGTCTCAGTCTGAGTGATGGTCCAACTCTAGAATCCATGGGTTTAACCCTCAGTTAGGAGCGGGGCTGGATACCTCACCATTCATTTTGGGAGACCAGTTGGTTATATATTTATTTAGCTTTTGACACAGGGTCTTACTATATAGCCCCTAGCTGGCATTGAATGCAGGACCCTCCTGCCTTCACCTCCCAAGTATTGGGTTTACAGACATCCACTACCATGATATTGTTATGAACAGAAATCACCCAGTTTGACCCTTACAGTTTACAAAGGAAGCCCCTAAATAAGTTGCTTTTTGTAACTTGGCTTACTGACGTCAGGAGTGGGTTGACACCCAGGCCTCAGGACTTTAGTTCCACCCCATACCAGTCTTTAGGACTGACTATACTGCCCCAAAGTCCTGGCTCCCTAGGCTTTCTTCTCTTATCTCCCTACAGTGTCTAGAAGGTGTGATTCTATAAATAGCATCTCCTACTCCCATCCTTACCCTCAGGGTACCCTCCTTATGGGACTAGACAGCAAGCCTCTACCTGGGTCAGGGAATTCTGTCAATCATCCCACTTGCTCAACTTAAGAGCCTGTGGCAGACGTGTAAGAGGAGCTCATTGCTGCCTTTCCCAGAGTCCCTGGGAAGATTGGCAGGCCCAGATGAGGAAGCGTCTGAGGGTATATGCTGCCCTCTTTGCAGGGACCACAGGTCCGCTCTCTTCTGCCCACTCAGCAGGTTTTAGAAGACCACAAAGCTCTATCACGTGCCCATAGAGAGAAAAGCCCTAACTGCTGCCTTGACTAAGGTCCCCTCCCTGGGAAGTGGCACTTCTCCTTTCAGTGGCTGTTTCCTCATCCTCTCACCAGCCAGTTCCGTTGACCAAATCCCTGAGACCAAGCCATTTATTTTTTACCTGATTCAGTCACCAGAGGAACCAAGGTCAAACAGATCCTTGAGCTCCCTGCTAAGCTCCCAAGGTAGCCCCATCCCAAGCTTCTGAGGGTTGAAGAGCCCACCCAGCCAGGGAGAGCATATGAGCCTGACTGTAGCACCTGTCTCCACCTGTGGACAAGAAACTTCTTGGCATCACCAGGCCTTTGTAAGAGAAAAAGCTCCCACTCAACTTTTGTTCTTGGCACTTTGCCCCTGCCCTTTGGGTTCTTTGAATGGCTTGACATTGTGGCTACTATGTTGCTACAGGACCAGCTTAAGAGAGCCGGTTCAGAGGGCAGAGCAGTGAGAGGGAAAGAACATGAAATTTAGAAGCTGTGTGATGAGAGGAAGCACTGGGTCTCTGTGAGCCTCAGTCTCCTCAGCTGTAAAATGGGTATGATAAGCTCTGCTCTGTTCCCCCCAAAACTATAGAAAGGTCTCCTCACCAACAGCAATGGGAGTGCTTGCCACCGGGAGGTTGGCCACCAGGTATCCCCTCATAATAGAGGGCCACCTACTCATGGGGAAGCTGTGGCCCTTCTGAAGACCCCTGGATGAGACAAAGAAGCTGTCTCACTAGCTTGACAAACAGTGCAATTCAGGAGGAAATGGTAGCAATTCTGCAGGAATCAGCGGTGACTGGGCATATCAGACATTTCTTCAGTCTCTGTCACCCCTGTGTGTACAGCTTCCAGAATGCTGAGCTTTGAGTATGAGTAAGGAAGGCCTACCGCAAGTGACTCACCACCCAGCATAATTACCCACCCCGCAGCCTGCCTGCTGACACTCAGGGAACCCTGAAAGGAGCTGGCCTCTGTCAGCAGAGGGTGCACCCTCTCTAGCCTCAGCAGGAACAGGCTGGAGTAAGAAGGCTGGGGAAAGTTGAGAGGGGTGAAAGCACAGAACTGGACACTAACATTCCCAATACCAGCCCTGTTGTGCATTGTTAATCCTATGGCCCATCTTGGACCAAGGGTTCATCTATCTGTCAAATAAGGGGGTTTGCAGGATAATGGCCAAGTTTCTTTTAGTTCTACATGTCATGGCTGTGAAACTTTGGAGACACCACCCAGAGAACCCTTCTAGCTTCCTCTGCCTCAGGCAGCAGAAAGTATCCAGATAATGAATGCCCCCCACCCCCAGGAACTTGTTAGCCAAAGCCCAATGAGACCATACTGACCCTACCCAAGGGAATGTGGTTCTGACTTCACATGGAACCGGAGGGGAAAGGGACAGGGAGGGTGTGTATTGAACACTTGCTGGAGGCCTGGTCTTACAGGGGTTGTATTATCTACTACTTTTGACACTTGGCCTGGGAACGTCTGGAACACATCCAGCCTGTGTGACCCAATGCTGAGCCTTCTGGCTGTTCTCTGTTTCTGATGGTGAACTGCAGTGGGGCTTGACCACAGATACGCATGTTGTCAGCTGGAAAACCCTGAACTTTTCACCCTGAGCCCGCATCACCCTCTGAAAATGAAGACCTTTGTGAAGCTTCACCAGACCGCCCATGCCTGGTACAAGCAGTGCTTGACGAATTGCATGTTAAAAAAACATATTTGTGATGGTGCACACCTTTAATCCCAACAGAGGCAGGTGGATCTGTGTGAGTTCAAGACCACCCTGATCTCCATAGCGAGTTTTCAGCCAGTCAGGGCTACATAGTGAGACCCATCGTCAAAGGAGGAAAATAAATGTTAGTGAGACTGGAGAGATGTGGTGAAGCACTGCCGGTCAGCCAAGTGTTATCTGACGGTAGGGGTCACAGCTGGCATCCTCAGGCACTTACTTTGAGGCTTGATTTTTGGATCCTGTCTGTGAAACACTCACCATGAGCCCATACCCCTACCTACTCTTGTCTCCTCCCAGGCCTGAAGAGATACACTGGACTGAGGCTGACACCTAGTCCTTTGGTTGGATAGGTTCTTAGATACAAAGAGATTCCATTTCTCCAGTGGGAAGCCAGCCAGCAATGCCTGTCTAGACAAACCAGGCTTACCTTGTAGAGAAAGCCTAGACAATTTTTAAGGAGAAAGGCTCAACTGGGCAGCCAGCCAGCTAACTCCCCAGAAGACAGGCCCATACTGTGCCTGTTGCACCATCAGGGGCCACCTCAGACCCATGGGAAGACAACATCATGGACACTGGGTTAGGGGTTAAAGCACCTATCACATGCCCAAGCTAGAGTCTGGAAGGCTCAGTCACTCAATAGAACCTCTTGGGCTGTGCTGTGATGGGCAGGGAGCAGTAGATGGAGTATGGAAGCTCCCGTGCTAAACTCATTCAGAACTCTGTGGGATCTGGATGAGCATTCGATGGGAGCGTAGATTGTGAACCCAAGCAATAGCCCAGGGTGCTGCTAAGTAATGGCCACACTGCTATATCCAAATCTAGAGGGTCTTTAGAGGGTCTTGGGTGTCAGTCTGTGATCTAAAGGGACAGCACCAGGATGAGTAGATGACGTCTATAACCACCATTTACCCCTCCACAAGGAAGCACTGGCCTCAGCTTGTGGTTGGCTGTCATAGGCTTGATGTCACTTCCCTTCTACCTCCTGGAGGAGCCCTGGCTTTCTCCCTTACTGGGTCAGTGGCTCTGTGCCCTCAGGGAAGCCTGAACCCTTCACTCAGCCTCACCATTTCCTCTTTATAGTTACCTCTCCTCGGCCTTCACAGAGGCTCTTTCAACCACAGCAAACATGAGTTCCAAACGGGCCTGCCTAGATGAAGCATGCATCTTGTCCGGGACCCCCACTCATACCCCATGTCCCATCCTGCCCGTGAGTGCAAGAGCCAGAACCAGTAGGAGATCAGGCCCCAGAAATGAGAGATGTTCTGTTATGTAGTAAGGGCTTTTAGTTCCTTTGGAGCTGAGGCTGGAACTAGCTATGTCCCATTCCCCTAGACTGTGCAGAACTCCAGACTTCTCCCCTGGAGCCAGTCATGTTAGAACTTCTCCTTTCAGTTGTCTTTTGGCCATTGCTCCTAAGAACCCTCCAGAAGCCCACCCCCTCCCATTCTTTGGGAACTCAGGCTTGTTAACTGGTAAGTGCGGAACATGGGTATGCTGCAATATGGCTGCCCTAGTGAGGCGTTCCAAGGAAGAGACCTTTCCAGAGAAGCCCTGGGTCTCGACCTTAGAGACGTCAGCTACCTGCTATGGGAACTACAGTGTGTATAAGCCTATGCTCATGGGAACAGCTAATGTGTATCAGCTAGAGTCAGGAGGCAACATGGCTGGTACAGTCAAGAGTTTGTCAGCTGACCTATGATGTCCAACATGAGGGAGGGGCCGCCATCTTGCCAGTCTCTTGCCTGGGCCATATCATTCACATGGCTTAGTCCTGGGCTCACAGGAGCACTTCCAGAAGTCAGCAGCCAGGAGGGTGGAGGATTAGAAAGGACTGGGGTAGTTATCCAGAAAAGAAAATTCACAAGGTCAGAGTGGCTCCAGGTGGCAAAGGGATCTCCAGTTAGAAAACGGATTAGTCTGGAGGCCATAGCAGCTCAACAGGAAGGAAAGTCAGAAGGAGCTTTTGTGCTTAGATGGCAACAATTCAGAATGATGGGTGTTGCTGCCTGAAGTGTGCTGGAAAAGTTCTAGGCTGGATGGGGACCATTTCCACTACTGGTCTCTGTCTGTGGTGGTACTCACTGGCTTTTGTACTCTATGGCAGGTGCTACATGCTTTAGGTATGTATTACAAGGGCCTTCTGGACTGTGAAGGATCCAGTGGTCATCTCCTCAGCCTGAATGCCTCTCTAGACAAGAGGCTTGACTGATAGGTTGGTGGGTGGGTGGGTTGGTTGGTTGGTTGGTAGGATGGTTGGTTGCTAGTTTGATTGATTGGTTGTTGGTTGGTTGGTTGGTTGGTTGGTTTGGTTGGCTGGTTTGTAGGTAGGTTGGTGGTGGGTCTCTATGCATAACCCAAGCTAGCCTCAAACTCACTGGGTAGCTCAAGCTGGCCTTGAGTTCACATCAGTCCACTTGGCTTGGCCACTTTAATGGTACGCTTACAGATGTGTGGCCCCATGTCCATATGACCAGAGACTCTTAACACTTTTCATGTACTGGTCCCTTTGACAGTCTGGTAGAAATCAAAGATTTCAAAAGAAGCCAAACAAGTTGAAATAAAGATATCAAATATTAGAGAGTAGATTTACTGCCAGGCTTGGTACATGCCTATAATCCTAGCACTCAAGCACCTGAGGCAAGAGGACTTCGAATTCAAGCCTGGATTATATAGTGAGAGCTTGTCTCAGGAAAAAGAAAAGGGGGAAAAAAATCACCTTGTTTTGTAATGTATATATTTAGTACACTCAATTTCAAGCAGTGGTTTTAATTTTATTTTGAGGAGTAATGGGTGTAATGCACTTCATATAAACAACACTAATGTAATAATAATACCTGATTTCTACAAGTTACAAGTCTATGTTTGCAAGTTGATAAAATACTGTCTTAAAACCCCTCACCATGGAGACAGGCTCCTCTGAAAAGGAGTGTCAACTGAGGCTGAGTGTGAATCTAGCCAGGTGGAGAATTCATTGTGCCTCCAGTCTGACAACCCTCTCTTTACTGCAGGTGGGCCGACAACTTCAGAGCTGAAGGCTGTGGAGGAAGCAAGGAGCACAACTTCGAACATCCCTTCCTCCAGGTACCAGCATATCTTCCTGGTATCTGCCAGGCTTCTTCTAGGCACCTCTGGGGCTGTTCTCTTTCCTGGCCTAGGGGTGAACCTCTCCTGGCTCCCCAAAAGCCATCTACCTATCTCCTCTCACAGAATAGGGTCAGAGTCCAAGAGTGCCCCAGGAAGGGGCACAGTCCTCCATGGGAGGTCTGCATGATCTTAATGAGTGGCCATGCTCTCACCACGCCCCATCTCGACAAATGGAAAGCACTAGCTCCAGTGACAAAAGTATGTTGTGCATTTCCCTTGAGCCCAGAACTCCATTGGGATAGGAGACATGGAAGATACCCCATTTCTGGACTGAGCGTTGGAAGGCTCAGATTCATCCCCAGTGTGTTAGCAGCAGGTATCAGACCTTCCATGAGTCTTTGAACCTAAGTCTGGATTGTAAAAGGTTGGCCTGATGGGTTTTTACACCATGCCACACACACCCCATAGGGTGTCCACTGAGATGTTCCGGGACCCCTGTGATAGACCCACAGCTACTCTGCTTTTGTTTGTTTGACATTTGGGGATTCTAGGATAAGCTCTTGTCTGAAGTGTGGTTATATTAAAACAAACAAAAAAACAGTATTGCTAAAGGTGGCCCTGAAGTCCTTTCCATGCTGAGTCCTCAAGTATTGTTCCTGCAGGCAGTGGGCATGTTCCTGGGAGAGTTTTCGTGCCTCGCTGCCTTCTACCTGCTCCAGTGCAGAGCCACAAGACAATCCGACTCCAGTGTAGAGCCGCATCAGACCTTCAACGCCCTACTCTTCTTGCCCCCAGCCCTGTGTGACATGACTGGAACCAGCCTCATGTACGTGGGTAAGTAAGTAACCTGGCCAGTGAGGCCATGTTTAAGAGGCTGCCAGTGAATCAGCGCCCCCACCCCATCCTACCCTCTTTCAGGCTTCACATGTGCACATCCAAGACTTAGTGAGCAAGTCATCTTGTCCCTACTCCCTGGGGATACCTTGGTGGCAGCCAGCCTTTGCCCTTAACAGCCATTGATCATGTCTTTCCTTTGCTAGCCCTGAACATGACCAGTGCCTCAAGCTTCCAGATGCTTCGGGGTGCAGTGATCATCTTCACAGGCCTGTTCTCAGTGGCCTTCCTCAACCGGAGGCTGGCACTAAGCCAGTGGGTGGGCATCCTGGCCACCATTGTGGGACTGGTGGTGGTTGGCCTCGCTGACCTCCTGAGCAAGCATGACAGTCAACACAAGCTCAGCGAAGTCATCACAGGTGAGGCCAGGCGGGAACCTGAGGCTGCTTCCCCTGTCCCCTCCTCTCTGGAAGCCTAGCAAAAAGTCATCCCACAGATTCATCCAAGCTCTGCCATCCGTGTGTCCTGGGTGGGGTCATATACCTGATGGGTACATGATGGGTAGAGTGTGAGGGAGACCAGAAGACTGTGACCATTGCAAGGAAGAGACAGACAAGCAGCATGAGGGAGCTGTCTGGACCCGTGGCTCATATTCACAAATACAAACTGCTATTTTGGAGAGGGACAGAAGGACCAGTTTCTGACACATGCCCAGCCCTATGCATCTCTCATCACAGTAGCCCAGACCCCCAACAGTACCCTCTGCAGCACGTTTTAAGATGAAGTGCCGGGAGGCAGAGGCAGGCGGATCTCTGTGAGTTCGAGGCCAGCCTGGTCTCCAGAGCGAGTGCCAGGATAGGCTCCAAAGCTACACAGAGAAACCCTGTCTCGAAAAACAAAACAACAACAACAACAACAACA